AGCTGGGTAATTAGAAGTTACGGGAAGACATCATCAATGAAATGCTATTTAAACCCATAACTATCGAGTCTTAAAAACAACAAATTAAAAGAAATACAATTAAAATAGATATCAATTATTTGCACTTCTGATAAATCCAATTTCAGCCAGCAGCTGCTTAAGACCCCCAGATAGAGAAATTTAACATTTACTGAGAATATCAACATTTATTTTATTTTTTAAATACAAACAAAAACCAGCAAGACTTAGCCTGGTAGAAGGGAAATTAAAGTCTGGAGGCCTGTCAAGTGTACGATACACTGGACTGCCACTAGAATTGAGCTACTTTGCACAGACGGAAAAAAAGACAAACATCTACATGTATGTAGTTGATGGAGATATACCCCAAATGATGAGCTGTAAATACAATGAATGGTGGTGTCACAACATACTAATAGGCTTGTCCATCAGTATTTATCTTGTCTCAAGACAAGCTAATCTTGATGCCTGAAGCCACCCACAGCATTTTGTAATGAGTATAAAATTAATAAATATATACCTTTTAACCCTAGAAAAATACAAAAAATGTTCAACCTTTTAGTTGGTAGAAGTGTGCTGGAGATGAAAAATGTGTTTTTGTGACGTTTTTCCAACAATGTTGTAATATTACATTTAGCTCTGGGTGTCATGAAGTGGGGTTTTGTTGATGAGGATTGAGGTGGTGAGACCCAGGGTGATCTCACCAGTTGTTAGGTGGAGAAATTGGTTTAATTACGTTCAAAGTTGTACACAACGCACAGGAACCACAGGTACGGAACGAGACACAATCACAAATTCAGGTAGACTCACAATGACAAGCTATGGACAAACCATGACATAAGACACAGGGATAATCAGAAGAAGGAGAGACAGCTGGAAGCAATCAGCTTACATATACAGAAAACCCACATCATTTATTTCCTTAAAAATGAAATCAGATTTTTTTTTTTCCATGTCAAATTTGATTTTAGGCTTTTATTTAATTTTTTTTTCTCCCTATTCTTTCTTAAAAAGTAATGCCAAATTACATAAAATATTTTCAAAAACTTATTTTGATGTAAATCATCCCTTCTTTCAGTTAACTTGAATTCAAAATCCAGCTAAATAAAAGCTGAAAAATATGCTGATATGTGGATGGTAGGCCCTCGGTGGACAATTTAAAATACTTAGGAATACCAGATCCAGTTTTTTTGTGGCAATTAGTTGATAAAATGAATTGCCAGTGGTTTCAGTGGTTCTGTCAGTCAGGCCTTTCTTACATATGAAATTAGACTGTGTGCTGAGGTGCAGCTAATCGCATCACTGAATGTTTTTTTATTTATTTTGGGGGTGAATGGCATGGCAGAATTTCCCATAGGCTAAAGATAGTTGACAAAATAACAAGGAGGGAATGTCTGCGTCACAGACAAAAATTGGTGAATGTGTCATTTGCTTCATTGATTGCTTATCACTTTCCATCTGACCAGTACCAAAGTCACACATCATGCCAGATATGCAAGTTCTCACCCATTCTTGGAAGCCACATGGGTGTTGTTTACATTTCATATATTGTTTGAAATTTTAAAAACAAATTTGGGAGTGGAGTAAAATGTTCGGGAGTGGAGCAGAATATGTCTCTCTGCTGGCACCAACCCAAACAGTCTAGGGTGCAAATGCCACACCTGGCACTGATGAGCCGTTTCACATTTCCACTAAATTCTAATAGCATCCTCCAGGAATCTCAGTTCTAACAGATGATTGGACTAAACATGTCCAGTCAATCACAGAGATCTTACTCAGCCAAGTTTATCAGACTGTAGCAGTTTGTAACCCTGTGAAGGAATTATTAGTACATTTATTTCCCAGTAGCATTCCAAAACAGAACACTAGATTAGATAAGATACACTTTATTGTTTCCTAAGGAGCATCAGTAGATATGCTCCCCATCCAACGTTAATGGATGGAGAGCACTCATTACTGTTGGATGCTCCTTAAGGATCATCCCTTCTGGGTCCTTCAGGGCCTTAATCCAGTATTAGTCCACTATTAAAAGTATTATAGATTGAGTATCAATGACAGTGTGCCCAGTCCATAATGGCAGATCTATTCAGCCTAATTCTATGCCTTGTGCTCAGTATGACGTTATGCTTGATTTATTTTACATTATATTTAGAATTCGAAACTGAATTTTCTGAACCATTTGAAAGATTTGTTATAGTTTAAATTTACATGTTTAACCAAGTTAGTCAACCTATTATTTTTGTCAGTTTATTCATTATTTATTTATGTCTGTGTTTAAAAAAGAAGAAGAGACATTTTAAGTCAGTTTAGCACTCTTTTTATGTATTAGATTTGCATCGGTTGATGCTAAACCTCAGATATCCAAGTGAAAAAAGTGGGACGGTGTATCCCTAGGCAGAAGAATAGCAACCGGCAGGACATTGAAACACCTTGCAATAAGACAAGAAACGTAACAGTGCAGACAAATTTCAACAAATGAGACAAATATATTAAAACATGGCATCTGGAATGAGGGACAATATAATTATGCCAAGATCACAACTATTGCATGTTCTGACACAGCACTACTTCACTGATTTTGTAATATAAACAAGTTGTTAAACAATTACAATTTTATCAGAGAGAAAAGAAATAGGTACTACATAGGAAAAATAAGAAAACCATAAAAAAATAATCTAGACGTGTTAAGAAGCGAAATGGAATTTGGGAGAGAGGACTTTAAAAAACCCAGATGCTTTTGCGATGAACGGCTCTGTGGTAATAAGTCATAAACTTCAAACAGAACATGAGACGGTTTCTGTTTAATTACAGGGTCCTCACAGATGGACTGGAAGGGCAGAGGCTGAAAATTCAACCCAATTATTTTCAATGAGGTTTTCACTATATTGGCAAGTCTATTTTTAGACCCCACAGTAATCAATCCTCCCATGCCATGTCTAATAAGAATAGCGGCATAAAAGCTCTGCAAAAAATGCACAACAAATAGTCAACATGATCACTCTGGTGTAAAGTATGACAATAAGTTTTTATTTATTAAAGATCACATGATTGTGTGGTCTCAATTCAACAAGATCTAAGGTAATTTCTTTAATTTTACCTGAATTCAACATGAACTTATTATTCCACCAGATTATTATTATTATTATTTTTATTTTTTTTTTTTAAATATGTCTAAGTAGAAACATAAAATGATGAAAAAGTTTCCAGGTTTGGATTCTTCTGGGCCTTAGTCCAACACTTCTGCTGTGCAGGTCACTTAGAAAACATCTTGATTATACTTGTTTTTTCTTTCAGATTGCAAATTTGAAATCCAGATTTATCAGGACTCATTATGTAACAAGTATCAGTCAGTCATGCTCTACGTCTGTGCTGATGGTGAGAAAATGATGATATCCTGCAAAGATGAGAAGGAAGTGTGCCCAGAGCCCATGGTGAGTGGTTCTGTCAGTCAGGACTTTCTTGCATGTAAAATGAGACTGTATGCTGAGGTGCAGCTAATCGTATCACTGTGAGTGAAAAATAATGGCAGAGTGATTTGAAAGAAGATAAACACCTTCACTGTTACTCAGCAGCATAACAACATGAAACCTAACCAGTTTTCCCACTTCTGTCATTGCTAGGATCCCAAAGTCCTGAAGATGATTAAAGCAGCGGAACACAAGGCTCTGTTCCGGTGGAAATTGATCTCCACTGGCAAATACAAGTTTGAATCCACCATGTACCCAGGTTACTTCCTGGCATTCGAGCATGTGGAGGATATGCCTTGCCTGCATAAACTAATTCTGCGTCATGGATCCATGGATGAAGTGGATGAGAGTGGGATTTTTTATGTAAATAAATGCAGTCCATAATAATTTCTCTTGGGAAAATATAACATTCACTAGCCACTTTATTAAAGGGATAGTGAGTTTCTTTCTTTCTTCTGCTACTATTAACATTATATGAAGATTATTATTTTTCTGTCATTATGATCATTTGTTTATTTGATTTGGTCGGGTTGTTATTTATAACTGTCATTATTATTATGGGTTAGTAAATATGGTTGTTCACAACATGAGTCATTTTGTAAGAATTTTGTTTTTATACACTATAGTCCATTTGTTGGTTCTTTAACAGTAAATTGAATATGAATACCATGTTTTAAAATACTCATTTCCAATAATTACTGAGTCAATGAGTGATATATTAAGATTGAGATGAAGAGAAGGACTAAATAAATGTTCGCTATTTTGTTCTTGGTTTTGTTTGCTTATGTTTTCTCTTGTCCTACTGATGACTTGTTTCCTAAAACCATTTTGAAATGAACACATGAGTACAAATAGGTTAGCCTTATCAGCTTACCTAGGTTAGAGCCCTGTTCTTTCAGAACTGTCTTATTTCTTTGTAGCGTAGATTCAACAGGCTGTGAGAACCCTTTGTCAGAATTTGGTCCACATTAACGTGACGGCATAAGTCACTTTGGCAGGAGAGCATCCATGATGTGAATCTCCTGTTGCTCCAAAGACACTGGAGGCTGCTGAACAACTATCATTATTACTGAACAAAATTAAACACCACATGCAAATATTGTTGCCATGTGGAGTTAACTGTAAATAAGCATTTGCTGACATTTTATTGTACAAAAGTAAAATTTTTCTTGATTTGTGAACAATTTTTAATCCAGTTTGCTTCTCAGTGAGCATTACTCAGTGCATGGGTAGGGCATGTCCAGTGGGTAATCAGACAAAATGAGTAAAAACTGGACAATCCTTGAACTGGACAATAAAAGGCCACCCCAAAACATCACATTTTGTCACAAGTCATAAAGCCAGAGATGTCACAAATTATGCAGGAGCGTGCCATTGGCATGTTGTATGCAGGGATGTCCACCAGAGCAGTAGCTGCAAGGCTCAATGTCCACAATCGGACCATTGGCCGTCTAAGAGTTGGTTTCCAACAGACTGTCAAAAATAGTCTGCAAATCGACCTCATCCTTGTCAGCCACATCTGACCACTCCAGCACAAAATCGCCACATCTGGCTCGTCTATCTGAGAATCGGTTAAGACCAGCGACACAACCATTGATGAGACTAGTGGTCAGACTGTCCATAACCGCCTACGAGAAGCCAACTTGGTCAAAATCAAATTCCTGAACCTGACCCCATCATAGGACTGTCAATCTGCTACAAATGGCCAAACCACGATGACATCAGTGCTGATATGAAGATCAGTAATTACTGAAAATATATTTTGAGTTTCTCTATATATTGCGTAACCCAAATGATCAGAAAAGTCATGTATGACATGGGCTGTTTATATTTATACTTTCTCTGATTGTTGTGAAGATTGAGACAATGTTGTCAAACTGTTGGGTGGGTAACAAACACCGACAATAAAAAAATGCTCACCCCCTTGGATGTGTTAGCCTTGTTTGTTGTTTTTACAAATCAACTGTGCTCAACATTTTCAGGTAATGGAGTAAAAAAAATCTCTAAAACACTGAACATCTCCTGGAAATCTATTCTCAGGAAAGGGAAGGAATATGGTTCATGTGTCAATTTGTCTAGGTCAGATGGTCCTCACAGCCTGAGAGAAAATGAGAGAGCACCAGGTTATGACAACACTGAAGGAGTTCCAAGCTTTAGGAGAGACTCTGCAGATAACTGTTGGTTTTTGACCAGTCAGAGCTTTATGGAAGAGAGGCATTGAGAAACTGCTGACAGAAACTCACATCAAGGCTGGACTAGTCTAGCAAAAAGCCTGATGGAGACTCAGTGGTGAGGAAGAAGAAGAAAGGTCTTTGTGGTGATGTGCAGTGTTCTCCTGACCAGACCAAACACACCACCCGCATGAAGCATAGTGATGGCAGCATCATGCTGTTGGGATGTTTCTCAGCTGTAGTAACTGGAAGGATTGTAAAGGTAAAAGGTCAAATGAATGAAACAAAGTGTCCAGCTCAGGGAAACTCCTGAGTCACATGTGGCTCACCAGGCTTTATTGGTGGCTCTGTGGCAGGTTACAATAGGATAGCACATTTTTAAAACATGTCACAGAATCCGTCCGTCCAAACAGAGACTCTTTAGGTGTGTGTATGTGTGCACACACACCTGAGGAGAATTTAAAGTGATCAATTAACCTGACAGTCATGTTTTTGGACTGTGAGAGTACCCATAGTCCAAACGAGAAATTCAAACTATTTCTCATTTTGGCTCAATTAAAGTCTGTATGACTGGGATGAGGAGTTATTTGAGCTCCTTCTCATCAACAAGCCTTCTGCTCTTCTCTGAAATCAGCTTTTCTTTTTCGTGTCCTTCATATCCAGCTACGCATTGCTTTGTAAACCTGAGAGGTGCTTGTGTGTGTGATAATGTCAGCAGGTTCTGAAATACTCTTTCCAGTCCATCAGCTATGACTAGAACCATCCACACTTAGTTACTTACACATCTTGTATTGCTGTTGAAGCTCAGTCCATCACAAACAGCAAATCAGCTAAACAGTATGCCTAATAAAGTGGCCCACAGGTAGATTTGTTTGACGGTTCCTCCCTCCACTTTTTCTTTTCTTTGGTAATTATGGAAAAGTCAGAAGTCATAAATTGGAGTCTGACTCACACAGAGAGAGTAGGATCTTGGAGAGTACTTTTTGTTTCCATGACAGCAACATCCAGATTCTGACTCACTCCACTAAACCTTATTTATGGCAGCTGTTTATTCAAGTAGACATTTTGCTTTGTTGATCATTTCTGTCATCAGTAATGTCCATTGAAATTATTGCACAATTTTGATTCCTCAGATTAATCCTGACTTCTTGTCTTTTAACCACTTAATGTAAATGCATTTTACTATTAATTGTATAGTTTTTTACAATTTTTCTCAATAAAAAACCCAGCCCCAAACCAGATGTGTATCAGCTGTTTTATTGCATAAGTATTGTGTAGACAGAGAAGGCAGAGCACCGTTTTCTTGACTCTTCCCTGAAACCGTAGAATCAAAGCTGCATGCAGGAAGTGAACACACCAACAGAAACAAAAACATTATCCAATTATCCAAGCTTTCTGATTGTTTTATGTATTGTACAGAACTACAGTATAATCAGCAGAAGTTAATTTTGCAACTTCATATCCAGCTACGCATTGCTGCATAGCTTCAGACAAATTGCATCCTAAATTCAGGGTGCAGCCTTCAATTTCAAGGAATGCTGTAAAGGGAACCAGACTGTTCTGAATGAATCATAAAATAACTTTATTGTGGCTTGTGAAAAAAGTCGAGTTAGAACTGCAGCATGGCCTGCTGTGTCAGAGTGTGAGGCTCATTTTATATATATATATATATTATATATATATATAAAGGAAGATGTTACACTTCTGTATTCTGTAAGACTTGATAACCATGACTGTCTGGATAAAAATGCTTGAATCTCTAAAGTAAGCGCTTGCAGCTCAACTCAATGAAAAAAACAAGCTGGAACGGCTCGGCATCCATTAGACAGACACATTACATCCTCAGTAAAAGCAAAATGATAGAACTTATAAGAACATATACACTTATTATTATTATTTTCCTTTTTACAATTAGCTGGGACAAGATTTCTCCCAAAGCACTGGTTCACCCTGAGCTCGCCAGTCCAAAATCCCTTTCATTTGCTCCAGAGCAGAGCGATGGCATTGCAGATGCCCACATCATTGTAGTTGAAGTAGCAGAGTCCGGCGAAGGTGACCGTGGACAGGACGAAGAGGCCTGCACTGGCGAGCTTGACCTTTGTGTCCCCATGGACATAGTCCGTTAACACCTGACCCAGACCCCTGCAACGCAAAGACCAGCTAAGGTCAGAGACAATCACCCACTGGAAGACCAGTTAACAATCTCAGAGAACCTTTGAATGAACAAACTGAAGCTTCTGATGCGTTGCTGGACTACCAATAGCAGCTGATATGTCTTATGGCTGAAACTAAGAGAGATGAGTTGATTGCTTTATTTCAACAGACTCCTGGTCCACAAAGACATGATACACAACAACACATACAAAATAAAAGTAAAAATAAAGTCTTCTAAAAGACTTGCATACTAATGTTTCCACAGAGCCAAGTGGTATCTTAGTGCACTGACAGAGGGCTGTGAAGACATTAAAAAAAGGCTATTCATGGAGCTGCACAAACGACACAAACTTGTATATCAAATGTCTCATGAGTGCCTGAAATGTTCTGACATGTGCATTACAAAACATCTCACTTGCACTGCTGAACCTGGGTTTCTTGAGCAGAATTCTCAGGGAGTCATAAGCAACCTTTAGCTTCTGCATGCCAGCTTTTTTAAATTTACACCACAAAGGAGCTGCATACAAGAATGTACAGTAAGCTTTGAACAGTTATTTTTACCTCATTAAATTTTCTTCCCAGAATGTTTGCCTGGGCATAGAATATACGACACTGCCGATAAATGTCATCATCGTCACACAGGTGGTCTGTGATGTAGTGATTAGTTTCAGCAATCTCTCTTTGATTAGGGATTGCTGAATCTCTCAACAAACATACCTGGAGTGTTGGCAACAGGGTAAGGGTATGATGCCAAGACTCCAGGGAACATAGAGTGTTGCCTTGATTCTTTCATGGATGTTTGAGAAATCCTTTAGCTGCATATTTCCAGTTTCCTTGAAGATATGTGAACACAACGCTCCTTCCCACCTCATCCCCTCCTGTTGTCCATGCAGCTGTGGAGCTGAGCGCTCCCACGGCCATCATGCCTTGATATTGGACTTCTGCCAGGAGGCTGAGCAACGTGGTTTCATGGCCCTGTGGTGTCACCGCCTTCACTCATGTCTTTGTTTTGCCCTTTGTTTTGTCTGAGTGTTGCCATTTGACCCAATGTGTCCTTTCCAATTTTTTTTTATTTTATTTTGTGAAACTGTGAAGTACTCACTTTTAACCCAGAAAAGGAATTAGAACAAAGTTGGAATCCAGAAAAAATTCTTCCAGAACAGAAACATTTAGTTTTTATTATTACTTAGAAATTGTGGAGTACTCATTACTTTTACAAATTCAGAGCATACTTAGAAAGTCCAGAAAATACTTACTTACACTTATTTAGCAACTCAGAACAGGGATTAGAACAAACTTAGAATCCAGAATAACTACCTTAGAAACTATGTTTCAGACTCTTATTCTTCTAACCCAGAAAAGGAATCAGACCAGAGGATACTTACTTATACTTATCTACCAACCCTGAATAAGAGTTTCTAGTATATTTACTTTAGATCAACATTAGATTCTTTTCCTTCCTTTGCTCTTTTTAGTTTATTTTGTTTGTATTTCCTTGTTGTTGAAAATGTACTATATAAATAAAATTACCTTTACCTTTGTTCTGATCTCCGCACGGCAACTCTACCGACTCCCAGTAGACACATATGCATTGTGTCGCCACAAAATATAAAACTAAATAAAAACAAACCATCATGCTGCGCTAGTCACGCACCACGCTGGCTTTCGGCTGTGGAGGTGAGTGCAAAAGCTCCTCCACAGGCTGAACCCTCGGTCCACCAACACATTGGCTAACCGGGAACTCAAACTTTATCACCGCAGACAGAGTCAGCATGTTGAGACATAAACACACACAACACATATAATGCTTTGTTCGCAAAGAAATATTCTCACTGCATGCTCAACGCGCACCTCTAAATGTGTTCCTGTGAACACTGAGTGCAGCTCAATGTGAACTTTTGCGGTTCACATTGAGCTGCCTGAGCAGAGCAAACACGGTGGATTTAAACTTGATTCCTACCTTGATCAATTCTACAGAAACATGGATCCTCATCCTCACAGGGGGTTGATATAAATGTCCATATAGGTGAGCCAATACGAGCGATCCGCGTCAAGGTGAACTTCAGAGATCGAGTCACCACAGCGGCCAAAGCAGAGGAGCCAGAGGTCTGATTGGTGCACGCTACAATGCAGCAACTAGAAAAACTATAAACCCATTTCTTTCAGGAATAATTCTGCCCTGCCAGTGAAATGTTCACCGCAGAAGAGATGCTTGCAATTGACTTACACTTTTTTCTATATATATATATATATATATATATATAAATTATTATTTTTTTCTTTTTAATAAAAACAAAGGCACACAATGCTTAGCCTGGCATGGGGACACATAAAGCATGGCAGCCCACCAGGCCTATAATAGACTGGGGGAAACCCTGCCCTATATGGCTGGAAAACACACAACATTGCCCCTTTAAAGGAAGAAACACAAAGAAGTAAATCATCATGACTAATCCTCCAGAAGCTCCAACCCACAGACTGAAGATCAGCTTCTAAGCTACACAATGTAAGGCTGGTTGCACTCATCTCTCAATGATTCCCTGCTACAGTGAGCCACAGTGTTTCAGTTTCATATTTCAACTGTAGTTCACCACAAACCTGCAATTCCAGTAATGAGGCCAGCCCAGTTAGCAACTAAAACCAGAATATGTCAATATCAAGTAAGATTGACAGCAATCTTACTTGATGATGGCTCGTGAAGTGACAGCATATTTCCTTTTATGTAATCATGGTTGACAATAGAAGAGTTACTGAAGCCATGACTCCATTTCTACAACAACAACAGCTCTTACTATGGAGTAGCCTTGAGCCGGTTCAGCTTCCTCTAAGCTGATTGCACCATCACTGTAAACAATGCTTACATGTCATCCCATCCTCTTCATGAGACTGTCTTAGAAAACAGAGTTTCTTCAGTCAGAGGCTTCTTCAAACTCAGTGTTATACAGACTTGCTATGGGAGACCTTTCCTGCCAACAGCCATCACTATCCACAATAACTCTTAAGAATTTTAATTAATATGAGCTACAACATTTAGTTTTCCTTTGGGGTAAATAAAGTATTTTTGAATTTTAATTTAGCAACACAGAGCAAGTCTAATTTTTGTGATCAAGTTCCTTAAGTCCCATCTGTTCACCTGCTTCAATATATGGCTTTAAATAAATCCTATTGGAATAAAATTTTTCATATCAATTGATATTAATAGATTGTGGGATAAAACAAATCCCTTTTTGTCAATCTTTAATGTTCCTTGGTACTAGTAAATGAAATCTGATGATATGAGGTTTTGTTCCATTTTAAATTAAGAATGTTATGGAACATACATGTCATTGAACATTATACAACTGATTTAAATAAGAGGTTTAAACTAAAATCTTCAAGCATTACAGGAGAACAGAACTAAAGTATACATATTGTTTTGCTGATGTTAAATAAAAGTCATTGAAATATAAATTCTCAAAATATTGCCTTTATACATATTAAGTGTTGTGGGGGTTTTTTATTAGCAGTGAAAGAGTAACATAAAATGTAAAACCAATAGTTTATATCATCAGTGCAAACTTCAGCAGCTTTCAAAGACAAAAAAAAATAAAATGGTATGGGGGAATTTTACTACCATAATTTGACAGCACACATTTTCAGTTTAAAAGCAGGACTTTGTCTTTAGTTCTCAAAACGTCTCCTCTCTTTCAAATATGCACTGTGCTTTCTCAAACCTTTCTCCTTGCACTCAAAACTTATCTCATCTCTGCTAGGATCAAATGTTCACTTGCAAACCTCTCTGCTCGCTTGGGAACCCTTTTCTGCCAACACTTGGGTGTGCCTGTGTGGCTACTATCGATTGTAGCAACCTGCACCTCCCACTGGACGTAGGGAGAAACAACGACGTTACCTTTCTGCTAGGAGTGTTTCACTAAGAGTGTTTCTCAAACTTTTTCAGGTCAAGGACCACTTGCCCCATTTAACAAACTCTCATGGAACACCAAATTTGAAATTACCTACACAATAATTCAACATCTTCATATATATATATAAAACCTGAAATGAAAATATTAGTCTCTTAACTCATTACTTTTGTTTGTCCTAATGTGAAGGGTGGTGCCGTTTTGGAAATACGACTGGCCACAATAAAACCATGAACAGGTCTACTTGGGCGTTTTCAGTTATTTACAGATTCTGAAATGTGGATTCTAATGATTCGAATGAAAGAAAACACATGTAGGTCTGTCAGCACAACAGCAGCACAAATACTAGCTTCGTCAGCTAACACTTCCACCGTTTGGTGGAAATGTTAGCTCTTCATTATCTCTTCACTGCACAAAATCTTATAAAGTAATG